CTATTAGCCATGTGTGGCCCCCATCTGCAAATAGCTAAATCTATGGATGCTAAAGAGATTTTTCAGCATACTTGGGGACTCCCAAAGTTTACAGAAAAATCTTAAAACAAAAATAAAAGAGATGGGGTGGTGGTGGTTAAATCCCTCCAAAACAAAATTGTGTACACAGACAACACACTTAAAGACAGCACTCCAGATGGCCACCACAGTGGAGGAGGACACTGGCACCACTGTAGGCCTGGAAGTGGAGAACACTGGCAGCCACCACAGGCTCAGCCACAGCAGAGAACACCGGCACCTGCTGTGGACTCGGGCCTTGCAGCAGCAGATGCTGGCATTTGCTGTGGGCCTGGCATCGAGAGGGCCTGAGCGCAGTGGCAGCCGCTCTGGGTCAAAGCACTCTGGATCAAAGCTGCTGCTAGTCTGGGGGCAGTGGTGGCAGATGGCTGCTGGTATCAGTGAAGGGTGGTGGGACCTGGGGTTTCACTGGCTCAGCAATGGGGGGATATAGGATTCTCCCTCACTTGTATAATTATAATTGTGTTGCTGTAGTTTTCTGTGTAGACCTTAAAATACAAGATTTATGTACAGTGCCTGATCTATATGTCTATTTCCTTTTAGGAGAGTGTGCTTTTTACAAAGTTTGTAAATAACATTTGTTGAACACTACTTGATGTTTATCTAGGGAGTTGTCACATATTTGTTCTGTCTTCTTCCTTTTGATTCTTGAAGAGAGTAACCTTGAGCCAGTCTTACACTTCCAGCCTATCCTACCTCACAAGTTGTTGTGAGAATACAATGGAGAAGGGGGAAATGCTGTAAGCCACTTTTGGTCCCCATTGGGAGAAAAGTGAGGTATGAAGGAAATAATAACACTATTTCCACCTTACTCTTACCAAGATCTTACACTAATTTGGGAGATGAAGGAAAGAATCTATTCTCTGTACTCTATGAACTGCTTATGAAAGGAATGGAAGTATCATTTTTTGAAATCAAATGTATTCATGTTTTTGCACAACATTTCATTAAAGCCTGGGCAAAACAAGATTACACCTCAGAGTGAAGCAAGAGGGGTACATATTTAACATCAGGCTTTCTTAAAGACAAATATCTTTTAAGACTGAGCTTTGCTCCATACAATTGAGGGCAATAACTAGTGGATGTATGTAGATTATGCAGGGGACATTTAATCGTTGTTTGTTTGTTTTTTACAATATTTCTCATTATTTTGCAACATCTAAAATATCTTATTGCACTGGTAAGTATGGAGAGTGAGCAGTTAATTAAGGTACAGATCTGTTGTATGGAATATGTGTGTGTGTGTTGCCCTACTATACTCTTTTGTTGATTAACTAAATCCAACAAAGTGATCTGATGAAGTGGAATATAGTTTCTTAGTCTTTAAGTTGCCATTGGTCTTCTCTTGTACTTTGCTGCCCCAGATGAACTTGACTAGCCTCCTGGAATTGACTACTAATGCACTGTTGTGCACAGCTCTTGACATAAAAGAACTTGGACCTGATGGATTTCTGGGAAGATTACAGACTTTCCCAGACATCATGTCACTTACCATAGACCTGGAGACATGTCCTGCCTGGCATGGATCCCAAGGGAAATGTGTTAAAGATGCAGCTGTAACAGCCTTCATCCTTGACTGTAACAGCATGAAAAGTGATGGTAGAAACACTCAGCCCACTTTGAGAAATATGCACATGATTCTGATATTTGCCCAGGACTTTAGGACCATGAGTTGTGCTGTAAGTAGCTATATTGGTCTTGTCTTTCCCATGCTCCTTCTGCCAGGTAACCTGAACGACATCATAGCTTTCAGCCAGCTGACAGTACAACGTCACATTTTCTCCAGCTATAGCTGTTTGAACTGACTTGTGAATCA